CTCTGATCTGAACTAACTGACCTCTGATCTGATCTAACTGACCTCTAATCTGAACTAACTGATCTAACTGACCTCTGATCTGAACTAACTGATCTAACTGACCTCTAATCTGATCTAACTGATCTAACTCACCTCTGATCTGAACTAACTCACCTCTGATCTGACCGAACGCACCTGAAGCTAACTAACGCTCTGTGTCGTACTCAGTTCGCACCTGTTGGCGAGGCGGATGTTGACGTGTGGTCTGTCCGACCCCGGGTCAGGGACACATTCGGGATGGATGCTGATGAAGTCCAGCGCCTGCTGCCTCTTCAGGGTGAAGCAACACTCCCCCACAGACGGTCCCACCGCCACCATGATGTCGCTCACCTGACAACCGAACTCCGTTACCATGGCCTTCACTGTTGCCATGGCAACCCCCATCAGCGTTCCTTTCCAACCTGGATGACGAGCAGAGAGGTCAAACAAAGTTTGACGTTTTCTTTCTTTTCACAATCAATAATAATAATAATATTAGTCAGAAATTATTTTAATATTTACATGAAACCCCAAAATGATGCCACTGACCTCATGGTGTTTTATATAAAAGTTAGCTTTGAGTAATGGGATATAAGTATATTCTGCCTCTAGGGGGCGCCACAAGCTCAAAAAGACAGAAGTCCATGAAATGGAGGCATTAATGACATCATAATCTAGAGACTGATGATTGTTAAATATAAACAAATTCTTTCGTCAAAGTGCCGAAGTGTTCGCTGACGATGCAGCAGGTTTGAATGTAGAATAACGTGTTGGTCACGAGAAGTTCGGTCGCACAACAAGAAACACATCAGGTGTCTCTCCAGCGCCCCTCGCAGGCAGAACATTTCAGACTGACGGAAACATTCACCTGCGTGAGCGGCTCCGATGACCTTTGACACAGGATCAGCAAACAGGACGGGCATGCAGTCGGCTCCCGGAGCTGCTAACACCACCCCCGTCTGATTGGTCACCATCCCGTCGTAACTCTCGGGCTCAGCTTTGCCCACGACCCAAACGTCGCTGCCGTGGTTGACCTGCAGGAAGTTCAGGTGATTCAGATCAACGTGCAGCGTTCCACCTGATCATGTGATGTGTGGACACTCAGTTACCTGCACCAGGCGAAGCGGCTGTGGGTGGAACCCGGCGTGGAGGCCCAACCGGCGTCTGTTTTCCATCACCATGGCGACAGGGTCCCGCCTCCTGCTGCTGCTGAACAGATTCAAGGAGGACAGGGTCGGGATGTAGGACACGCCCCCTCTACGAGTACTGAAGCCATGACCGAAGACATCTGACGGACAGAGAGCGACAGATTCACGTTAATACGATAAGATAGTTTATAATAATACGATATTTTTAAACATGTGTCCGTCTGAAGGAAAACTTTATTTATACAGGTGAAGATTTACAGCTCGATGGAAACTATAAGAGTGAACTGACCTGGGATCAGTGATGACGTCAGAACCCTGATCTGTCCCTTCAGAGCAGGAAGCTGCTGCAGAAACTTCCACTCTTCTTCTTCTCCTTCTTTTGCTTCCTCCTCCTCTTTTTCTCTTTCCTTGACTCCTCCACCAGGTGAGTCCGTGTGGGAGGAGCTTGTGCAGCTCGGACAGGTGCGGTTGTCCTGTGACGTCACTCTGTACTGGAACGTGTACGCGGCCGTGAACAGCAGCTTCAGGTATCGAGGCAGCGCGTCGAGTCCCCGCGGGCTCGTGTGCACGGTCACGGAGGTGACGCGCAGCTCGTCCACGATCACTTTGAACCTGAACAAACTTTCCGCGGTGGAGCCGCGAGCGAGCGCCTGCGCGCTCCCGCACCAGCTCGGAAGCGCGTGTCCCTTCTCGCGGTAACGTTTCCCGCACAGCACGAACACGCGCGAGTCCGGGGACGAGCCGGCAACGCGTGTGTGACAGCAGCCGTGCACGAGATCCAGCAGGACGACGTGAGACATGACGTCACTCCGCTGAAAGAATTGACAGGAAATAGTCGATCGATGAACAAGTGTTAAAAATAAAATGATCAAAACTCAGATGAAAGAAAATCAACAACAAACTTCTGACTCTAAAGTTCCTGTTTGAACTTCTGCTGAGGCGGGACTTCCTGGTGACGTCACTACGTCCACGAGAGGAAAGTCCAGGAAATAAATATAATAATTAATAATAATTAATACAGATCTGAAGGATTTAAATACGATTTAAAAAAAGCACGAGACTTAAAAAGTAATGAATAAAAACAATAAGAAATATACAAATAAACAACACTTCCCATACTGGTGTGGTTTGTATGAGACACAAATAAATCAAGAAATTAATAAAATATTAAATCAGCATCTTAATCAACTCACTTGATATTTAACTTTTACTTCACATTTATTTCATCAGTTTGTTTTTTCTCAGTTATGGATTCGAACATTAACCCTCCGTCACCAGCAGGGGGCGTCACATGACCAGTTCATACCAGACTTGAGTCTCACTGTCTGTCATCGAGGAAGAACTGAACACACTTACTACATGGACATCATGAACATACATGACATGAGGAGCCACGTGACCGTGATGATGGTGATGAGGAGCCCTGAGTTTGACCTCACAGGCAGGTGAGAGGAGAAACCTGCAGACACATGTCAGGACTTCAAAATGTCTCTTACATGTATTTTAGTATTCGGAGTCGTGATCATGCCAGATGCAGCAGGTCATGTGACAAATGTCATGTATGACATGTTTTTGCTGCAGCCTCAGAGGACGTGTTTGTGTCCTCCTGCCCCGGCTGCCCTCTGGGACGGACACTCCGTCAGCTCTGCTGCCAAGGTTACTGCTGCTGCTGCTGCTGCCCAGGAATTTATTATTAGCTCATATTTATAATCCTCCAGTGGGACTCAGTCAGTTTCCATCTGCACTCAACTGCTCAGACATGAACTGGACCACAGACATGTTCCTCACGTGTTCCTCACGTGTTCCTCACATGGTCCTCACATGGTTCTGGAGGGTCTGTATGTAAGAAAACACAAATGTCTGAGTCCCTGTGAGAAAACATCAGGAAAACATCTGGAACCTTCTCAGTGAGCGAGTGGGCGTGAAACTGAAGAACACAAATGTCTCAGGATGAAGAAGAGGAGTCGTACGCGTAGAGGACGAAGAAGACAAATGTCTCAGGATGAAGAAGAGGAGTCGTACACGTAGAGGACGAAGACGTCCACTTGGA